GCGGCGGGCTGCCCGGCACTGCCTGCTCCGCGCTCATGCCGGCTCTTTGGGTAGGCATGAAGCCGGGGGTGGCTGGGCTGCGGGCAGACGTGCCCCTCCCGCCCCCCCAAAAATTGCACCTCTTTCTTTGTCTTGTTCCTCTTTGGGGAGGCGCTGAGCTGACTTTCTGAGCTGAGCCGCTGTCCGGGGATGCTCTGCCGGCTGGGCACAAAGTGGGACCTCGTCCCGCAGAGCGGCCTTGCAGGAGGAGGGGGACAGGAAAGGAAGGTGAACTAGGAAGATACCCTCACTCTTTTCCACTGGAAGGGTTATTTTGACTCTTCTGCCTCAATTATGTACCAAATAGGATGCCTGGGTCCGGCTGCCCTGTGACGGGGACACTGGAGCGTGCCTTCGCATGTTGGTCACTTTAGGCCCATCTCTAGTGCGCTCGCTCCTAGCAGTGGAGGAGTGGATAATTTAAGAGCATCTGGACCATTTCACAGACGGGGAAACCGAGGCACAGCGTCCAACCGGCTGGGAATGAAAACCAGTCACTGAGCCCGCCACGACAACAGACAGAGCTGTGGCGCCTCAGCGCTAGCAAAGCCCCAGTCCTCTTCAAGCCCCTCATCACACACTGGGCAAAAGAGGAGCCAAATCACAGCGCCGATGCAACGAACCCTGGACCACGGAGCCGAACAGGATGGCAAAGATAAAGCCACCACTATACAGATTTATATATATATATTTTTTTTTCCAGGGTCTGACTCTTTCATGGGCTCTTTGGCCTCCAGCCACTGGATGCTGCTTGCTTTCGCGCACCTTGGGCACGCAGCCCTCTCGCTGTCTGTAGGCAGTGCTTCGCCGAACAGCTAACGGGCAGCAAAGGCGGGGGGGAGACAGCGCGGAGACAATGTGAACATATGCAAATCAGACAGCATGACGTGTCTCCTAAGGTGTTAATGAATTTATAGATGCATGAATAATTATTTGTGAAAAGCACAGCGAGCCGTGGAGGTCGCAGATGGCTGGAGAATAACAAATGCGATAGCAATTTTCAGGAAAAAGGGAGCGGGGAGGGAACGCGTTCTGGCACTCGCTCACCAGAAATGCTTCAGCAGAGCCAAGCCGACCGAGGGAAACGTAGGGGCAAAGGCATCGTTAGTGCTGCGGAGCAGCGGCTCCGCGGGGAGCAAACGGCGGCAGGCAAGCGTGATGCCTTTGCCGGTGGAATTACAAAACTGGTGGGTGGGAGGGATGCGGCAGCAGCGAGCCGGTCGGGTTTTTTGTCGGGGCGCTTTGCAGGCCGGGCTGGACAGGAGCCCTGTCATATGTTTTGCAAACGGTCTGGGAAGAGCGAAAAGGCTGATGCTAAGCAGCAAGCTGTCGAGCAGAGGGGATCTGTTTGCAAGCGAGTGCAACTGCCACGCTTGACGTGTGGCCTGGTTTTATTTAACAGCTGCATTAATGATCTCTCCACGAGAGCACCCAGCATGTTAATGAAATTCGCGGTTGATATTAAATTGCAAGGTGTTGCGAACATTGTTGAGGGCAAGGAGATAATTTCAAAGGACACCATGAGGTTGAGTCCGGGCAGGAAATACAACAATAAGCTTAGGAAAGGCAGACGAAGAGCCAGCAGGGGAAATAACGCCGGCCCAGGGAGCGGGGGCAGCAGGAAGGGCTTGGGGTGAGGGTCGAGAGCAAGCAAGTGGCGCAGAGCATCGCCCCTCGTGCCGCTCAGCTCCTGCCAGAGAGATATCATCGCTGCTCATTAGCAAGGACAACTTCTTTAACTTCATCTGCCATTTCATTGACAAACTTGGAGTCTCTTATTAGGAATCTCTTTAGCATCCGGCGCCTGGGTGGCTAATAGCCGGAGGAGGCCGCTTACACCAGCTGCTGTGAACAGCGAGGAGGGGGAGGAAGGCGCTGGGGGGGGTCCCCGGGGGACTCCAAGCTAAGCAGCGTGGCAAGGAAAGCGGGAAGCATTTGCCAAGCGTGCAGGCTGGGGACGCCGCTGCCGTGGGCAGATCAGGGTGGCGAGGCTCCGGGCGGCGCGGTGCAGGGGGCCTCGAGGTCTCCTCCCCGCAAGGAAGGCACCGGGGGCCGGCGGCAGCTGCCTGGGGCAGGGGCCGGCGGCAGCGGCCTGGGGTCAGCCGGGAAGCAGCGGAGGCCCGACGTCAGCGTCAGGGGCTTCAGACCTTCTCCTCCAACCTCCTGGACACAGTGGGCCCAACAGTGGTATTGTGGTTTTGGACAGGAGAGGGGCCAGCAGCGCGGCACGCTCATGGTTACGCTGCCCCATGTCGTGTTCGAAAGTGCTTGACTTTGCCTGCCCTAGTCGTACTTAAATCGCCCCTTTATACGATGCGCTAACCAAATCACCCCTCAAAAATCTTTCCGATAAGCTAAAACACGAGCTGCGTAGCTGTCTCCCTGAAAGGCAGGTTTTTTTTTTTTTTTTTTTTTCCAGCTCTCATACAA